TCACATCGATAATTTTGTGACTTCAACATATTGTAATAATATGTTTTTTTCAATATTAAATCGTCGTTTTTCCCGTCACAGAAAAAAATTTTGTATTATACACGGGAAAAATATTAGATTTTAGCTCTCGGTTTTTTGTCTCCCTCCGCGTCGCGTCGGGAGACAACCCAACCTCGAGCCAAAATCTAATACTTTTTCCCTTGTATAATAAATAACTATATATTTGACGTATTTCGGGATCTTTTTTAACTACGTACAGTAACCGAAATAATAAATTTATTCCATTTGGCTTTTACACACTGTATATACACACACCCATATATTCATATACACAGGCCGTTTTTTAACAAATTCCCCTATTGCTTTATCAGAAACCGTAAGACCTACAAACAAGTCGGTTGAATCGGACAGAAGTTTTCTATTTTGGAATATTAGAATAATCTCTTTCCATACAGAAAATATCGGTTGTTATTTTTGAAATATTCGTAAAAAACTAGAATTGTCGAATTTTTTATGGATCTGCCGTCTCCATTTCGAATGATGCAAAAAAAGGCAGAGGAATTTTCAGTACTGATTTGAATATTATTATGATCTGATCGAATATCGATCAGTTGCGGAACTGAACACGACCGCGGTAACCATCTCCGCTTCCCCGATTTCTATTCGTCACCTTAATATAACTTCAAATTTTATTTTATGACTCTTCAGCCAATCATAAAACTCGGTTAGCGAAAATTATCCGATACGAACCGCCGATTCTACAGTCCCCGTGGACTATTTTGCAGCCGGTTAATTTCTATGTATTGGTTTTTTTGGCCTTTGAGAATGCCGCCAATTTTAAATGTGCACAATATACTTCGACTATACTTTAGTAGGTAGTTCTCACTGTTGATTACATGGGGTATGTAAAAATTAGAGTTGAGAAATTAGTTTTTAATACGTTAATCACTACGAAAAACAAAACATGTCGTGATATTTTTGGAAATAAAGTTTGTGCAGATCAAATCGTTCTCGATGTAGTTTGTGGAGCTGAAGCTAAATTCCATTCAAATTCAGTAGGATTTCTGAAAAAATTCGTAAATTTTCAAAATAACACAAGTGTCACCTCTGAAATGTGAACTGACAGGTACTTCCTTTCAGGCGAGGACCGATGGCTCTGTACATTATTGCTACAAAGAGGTTACCGAGTGGAATACTCGGCTGCATCTGATGCATATACTCACTGTCCAGAAGGTTTCAATGAATTTTTCACTCAGAGAAGAAGATGGATGCCTTCAACAACAGCTAATATAATGGATCTTCTGACAGATTATAAATATATTGTCAAGCAAAACGACAATATTTCCACTTTATACATATTATATCAAGTAAGATGAACATGTTGTCAACATTTCATGAAAGATAAGATTTTGATACTCATTCACATATAGTAGTGATTATTCGGAATGAATTATTGTTATCTCACCCCATCTAAGTGAAATTTGTGGAAGATTATTGTTGATAGTGAATGAAAGCTAGGGAATTTCGTTTGCCAGTTACCAAAGTTTCAGACCTCAGAGTATCAAAAGACAATAGAGAAGTCTTTTACATCCTTACATTGAAGGCACCATGACTTTGTTTGTTTACGGGAAGTAAGTTGGACCATAAAACAGTGGCGGTTGGTTTAGCTGATAATCGGAGGGATAGTATATATTTATAAAATAATCATTTCAGGTGAAAAATGAATTCTGTTCAAATAGTTCCTACAGGAAATCTGATTTATTATTGATAATTATGGAAATGAGGCCAGTTTTTCTACCACCTTCTAGATTTTTATTTATGTATGGCTTTATAGTAAAGCGCGTGGTTTACTGATTTAAAATTAAATTATTTCAAATGAACTAATTGATAACAATGATAAAAGTTAATTTTAAAAAAAAGTAATGAATGAATCAGATGAAGAAATTTGTGAAAACGAATTAAAGAATTAACTGTCTTAATCAAATTTATTTTTAACAATATTTCACTATCACAACTAATTTATGTACAACACTTAGTAACTAACGCTTAATTTATCTTCACAATAAGATCACTTTCCTTAAACGCACGATTCACTTTCTAAGTACAGACTACTCCTCGGAACGGAGAGCGACCTTTTATATATCGTCAACGAACGTTCCGGATTTCTCTGCGGATATCGGGACCCATCCACACCTTTCCCGCTGTTTCGCGATCAGACATGCGTTTGCTGACTGGGACATCGGTCAGGGCCGGCTTCAGATTCATTACAATACATATATTGTATTGAAGATTCTGCCAGAAGTCCATGAATCTTCTTGCCATCCAGGTGATCAATGTTTGTTTGGCAAAGCGTAAAGCGATGCCAATGACAGGTTCTGGTCCGATGAAGCTACTTGCAGGAACCTCCTTTGCAAGTGAGTCAGCAGCTTCATTGCCTTCCAGACCAGTATGGCCAGGAATCCAGACCAGAGACAATCTGCTGCACCAGAACCGGAGGGGTTTTGGATCCATGTTGGTTCACACAACAACTATCTGCTCTTAATATTTATTTCTCCCGGAGGATCCAGTCCTCTCTACTCGGGAATAGTACTTTATGAGGCAGTTTGTAGTTGCCAGTTGGAGGCATAAAGTCAGAGGTCATTTCCAGAATGCTGTCACTTCCAGTATCAACCAACAGTCCGTTGCACTCTGCACTGAATTGATTTGTGCAATTGTCAATGTGCAAAAGTCTGCATGCAGTCCATCTAGCCTCTCTCTCCAGAAGAATGTGGAGAGGAGGTAAATCTAGAAGGATATCCATGGCCACTGACGGTGTGTTACTAATGGCACCACTGATGGCCAGACAAGCCTGTCTTTGTAAGCCAGAGAGCTTTGCCTGGGCCGTTTTCTGTAAAGCCTTCGGCCACCAGGTAATTGCACCATAAGTGATCATTGATCTGACAATCATCACATAAATCCAATGGATTTGTTTGAGACCTAAACCCCAAGTTTTACCACAAATCTTTCGACATGTCCATAGAGACAGTCTGGCTTTGTGTAAAACTTTTTCCAAGTGAGCGTACCAGATGAGTCTTTTATCAAGGACAATGCCAAGATATTTCACCTCCGTTCCAAATGGAATGCTGGGGTTGCTGGGGTTGACAGACATCTGCTCCCTCAGGCACCAACTGTGAACATCGTCCAAAGTGCTTTGGAGAATATTACAAGCTACCCTTTCTTACGTGGACCTCGCCAAGATGACAAGGTCGTCTGCGTAAGCTTGCAGATCTACTTTTCTTCTGTCGAGGGCATCAAGCAGACTATCCATCAGGAGCGGCTACAGAAGGGGAGATAGTACCCCCACCTTGAGGGCAGCCCCTGATGACCCTGAACCCAATGGTCTGTCCTTGAAATGTCGAAGTTGCCGTTCTGTTTACCAGCATGGCATAGATTCAGCCAGTTATGGTCGATTATATACCTTTCCTAGCCAAAGACAATCCTATAGATTTAGGTAGTGTATATTTAATGCTCCTTCGCCACGCCACTTTTCAGACCACTTACGTTTATCAGATTAGAACAAATAAATTCGATTTGTGAACATGATCAGTTGGTTCCTTGAGGATAGGGATATAACCAACTCGGTGGTTGTCTAACCATTATTCATCTTAGCTACTTTTAGACCACTCTAAAAGTTACCTCGTTATTTTTTTGCTGTTTTCGGCAATAATGTTCTGAACTCCATCAAATTCATTTGAAATATAAATACTAATGGACAAATCGTCTGACCTTTCCAGGGTTTCCTGATGGTTGGTACAGTTATTGGACCTGGAACTATATTCCTCATGTTGGTGGGAGCATTTATTTCAGCTTTCAACATATCCCAATATGACAGTTTGATCTTAAATGCCGTGCCAGTTTTACTTTTCGTTATCATTTGCAGTTGTTGTAAGTCAGATACGCAGGTGAGTAAAGAGATCATTCAGATACATAGCGCATTTTATTCGATTATCTGTCTATTGAAAAAAAAGCGAGAGTGCTTTAGACCACACGATTGTAAAACTTCTTTCGCTCCATCTTTATGTATGAATATAGATGGATGTCACACCAATAGGTGGTTCCACTTATGTCTCACTTGCGTTTACGCAGTAATTTTATTGAGTACTTTTCTTGGTTATTCATATTTTGTCTTCAATCAAGGACCGCCTGCCCGGTACTGACGATGCCCAATAGGCAGAAACAGCTGTCCGGTTTAATTCGTGAGGTTGCAGTCAATAGCTGGGCTGTTACAAAGAAAACTCTTTGTTATATTACCCATCCCGATTTACGAAACCAAAGTTTGTCTAATTTCAGTAAAATTCTGATCCAAAATTCTTATCCTAAATCTTTAGTAAACATAATTTTATTTTGTGAAAGAACAAACTTTCAAAATAATAATGAAGAAGTTGAACATAACAACGTTATACCTTCATTCATATATAAATCACTCCCATATATTCAAAGAAAATTTCCTGCTTTATGTAAATTATCGTTGATTGTCTCAATTGAACAAAAATGCAATACAAAGAATTGTGGAGAATTTCGGCCCATCGTATGAAAAAAATATCTGAAGTAACAGTAGATGAGCAACTGGTCGACTATTTTGAGGAAAAATTCAATAGTAACTACATTCCTATAAGTGTGCTATTCAGAGAACGTATGTGCAAGTGGAAGAACTAAGTAAATACTATCCATGATGATAATCATACGCGATTCATAGCACGGTGGTTTCATCAATTGGACTGGTATTTACAGTTTGGAAATTGTACGAGGGTTGCCTTTTATGTTTCGGGATTTGACAACCCTAGTGTTGCAATCTGGCAACTGACAGCTTTATCGTAAAGTTGGACAGTGTTAAGCTTAAACGTACTCAGAGTGTTTTGAAATACGCGCGCTATTTGTGTTGTTTACAGTAACTCAAAAGATTAATCTCGGCTCAAAAATGGAATTAAATCGTGAACATTTTCGTGCGATTATTTTTTAGAACTTTCGACGTGGATTAACTCAGCAACAGTGCATGGATGAACTTAATTCAATTTTTGACGATGAAGCTCCATCAAAGACCGGTGTTTATCGATGGTATGGTGAATTCAATCGTGGTCGTAGTTCACTCCAAGACGAATTTCGTGAAGGTCGTCCAAAATCACTTGTTGTTCCGAAAACTATTGATGCTGTGCGCGAACTAATATTGCAAGATCGTCATGTGACCTATCGTGAGAGTGAGACAACTTTAGGGATTGGTGGGACCAGCATACATTCAATATTGCATAAACATTCAACAGTCAAAAAAAATTGTTCTCGTTGGATCCCACACAATTTCTCAATCGCTCAAAAAAGGCTCGTGTCGATTGGTCGTAGGAAATGCTTAAAAAATACGATCGCGGTGCTTCGAAACAAGATGAGTCAAATCCAACAAAAGTTGTTCGCGCACGAAGCACTTCCAAGCAAATGGTCGCCTGTTTTTTCGGAAAAACTGGACATGTCGCAATCGTACCACTAGAACAACGCAGAAAAGTCAATTCTGAGTGGTACACAACCATTTGTTTGCCAGATGTCTTCCAAGAAATCAGAAAAACCAACCGCCGAAGACGGTTCACCATGACAATGCGAGCTCTCACACATCGGCTCAAACAACTGCATTTTTGAGCACCCACAACATCGATTTGATGAGTCATCCGCCGTATAGTCTTGACTTGGCACCGAATGACTTCTTTTTATTCCCGCACGTGAAAAACAAACTGAGAGGTCAACATTTTTTCTACACCTGAAGAAGCGGTTGCTGCATTCAGAATGCATGTTTTGGAGATACCTCAATCAGAGTGGCAAAAGTGCTTCGACAATTGGTTCAAACGCATGCAAAAATGTATACAGGGTGTTCCTTAAACACATGCTAATATTCAAGGAGGTAATTCTTAGACANCACCCTGTAGATCTTCATGGGGAATATTTTGAAAAACAATACAGTGATTTTCGATTATTGATATTTGTTTTTGTTCTCTAATCCCGAAATATAAAAGGCAAACATTCAGTGTTACTATTTTCATTCGGGTTTGAAAGCCGTCGTAGCTTGGAACTGCATTCTAACGTTTCGCCAGCACGAGTGGCTTCTTCAGAGGTTATATATCTATGATTCACCGATGACTGATATCGGGGTGACTCATTGCATCGTTTCAAGAAAAAAATTTCTCATGAACATATGTTTGGAGTTGCTTTGTTTCTGAGATACAAGGCGTTGGAGAAAAACGGTATTTATAAAATATCATAAATTTACACCGATTTGGTTGAAATTTGCTACAATTATTCGAAGTAATAAGGCACTCATTTAGCCCTTACTGGATTGAAATTATCAGGTCCAGTGGAGTCTCGGTGGGCATCAGAGCCAAAAATTTTGGGAGAAAAAAGTACGCCACTGACTTGTTGTAGTTTTTCATTTTTTTAGATCAATCAACGATGAATACAACTTTTTCGTCGCTTGTATTTTCTCCATATCTAGCTTCGTTTTCGGGAAAAAACTGAAACCACTTTGAATAACTTTGAAGTGATAGTGTTGACATATCAGTGAAAGTCAAAGCTGTCAATTAGCAGTGATTCCATCATGAATAATTTTACTGACGCTGAAATGGCTGGCATGCACTTTATTTATAGAGCAGCAAATGGAAATGCTGAAGAAGCACGGAGAATTTATCAAGACAGAATATCTCAACGCTACATGCAAGATTATGTGAAACTTGGAATTTTAATGGAAATGTAGGTAGTGGAAGACCAGAAAATGTAACAACGCCTAAACTAGAAGAAGCTATACTTATGCGATAGAAGAATATCCTTCAAATGGTACCAGGAAGTTTGCACTGCAGCTGGAAGTCAGACCAAAAACCATATGGACAGTTCTAAAGAAAATCTTCCTACACCCATATCACATACAGCTCTATTGCCTCGAGATTTCCACCCAAGAATAATATTTTGCAGGTGGTTGATTCATACGATGGCACATAATGATAATTCTTTACCAAATATTTTATTTACGGACAAAACAAATTTTTCACGAGATGCTATTATGAACATTCACAATGACCATTTTTGAAACGACGAAAATCCCCACGTCATTAGAGAGAATTTCATTTTCAACAACAATTTTCGCTAAACGTTTGGGTAGGAATGATTGGTGACTACCCAATTGGCCCATTTTTTCTAACAGGAAGATTAAGAGGTGAATCCTATACGGACTTCTTACGAGATCATTTGCCCATTTTGTTAGAAGAAGGTCCGGTACGTGTAAGAAGCAACATTCGGTTTATGCACGACGGGACTCCAGCTCATTTTAGTGTTCTTGCTCGTCAGCATTTTGACATCACCTACTCTAATCGCTGGATTGGACGTGCAGGGCCTCAATATTTCTATTTATCGAGTCAGCTGAAGGTTCTTGTTTATAAAACTCCTGTACTAGATGTGGATGACTTGAGGAATCGAATAATTGACAATTTCAATGTCATTAGGAATACTCCAGGTATTTTTGAAAGTCGTATCAGACAATCAATGACAAATCGATTGCAGTCGTTTATTTCATCAATTGGGCATTTTGCTCATTTACTTTACGGTAGAAATTGTTTATTATCCACTACTGGTTTTCATTTTATTTTGTTCATGAATAATTTTCAGAAATGATTTTGTTTCTCGAAAATGAAGCTTGGTATGAAGAAAATACAGGCGACGAAAAAGTTGTATTTTCAGTTCATCACTCTGAAAAAATAAAAAACTACAAAAAAAGACAGTATCGTTCTTTTTTTTCTCAGTACTGATGGCTGAAGTGCCACTGAGACGCCACTAGACCTAATAATTTCAATCTAGTTCAGGCTAAATAAGGGCCTTATTACTCCAAATAACTGTAGCAAATTTCAACCAAATCGGTGTAAGGATATTTATGATATTTTATAAAAACCGTTTTTTTAACTTCAACGCTCTGAATCTCAGAAACGAAGCAACTCCGGATATATATTCATAGGAACTTTTTTCCTTAAAACGACATAACGAATCGCCCTGTGAAGTTTCGTACCGTAGTTAGGAAACACCCCGTATATTGACTAATTTCAAAAATTATTTGCGTACACTTCAGTTTTAAAAAATCATCTAGATGAGGGGATAATATTTCTGACATAAATATTTTTTTCAGTTATTTTTTGCAGCCATAATGAGTGTTGTTTATGCCTTGGTGATGGTAATGGTAATGGTTGCAATTATGATTCAAGTGGAATACGATGGTTTTCTAGCGCCCTCTTCGCTGTTTCTTTTTCTCACCGCCATGTCATTTGTAGTGGCTGCCGTCTTGCATCCTCAAGAGTTTTATTGCTTGAAATATGGAATCATATATTATATTACAGTACCAAGTATGTACATGCTGTTGGTAATTTACTCCGTATTCAACATGAACAACGTGTCTTGGGGAACAAGGGATGTGACCATTGTGAGAAAACCAAAAACTGTAAGTAGGCGATAGGTATATCATATCTTAAATTAACTTTCTACAGGGTGTTTCGAATTCGATCCTCACCATTTGGATCTCGGAAACTATACGAAGATGGTTGAATTAGAGCAAAGTTGCGCATTTACCTGACTGACAATATGCCGTTTAGGAAGTTCTGAAAGTACAAGTAATTCCGGATTGAAAAACCTAAATTTCGGAAAATGGTTTTTATTTTTTTCGTGCTGTATTTTTTGAAAGATTCGAAAATAAATTGCACTTCCACATTGCCACTTTTTCCTTGCTACATAATGATGTTTTCAGATTTGCTATCCGACGTTTCGTCTTCCGGCCACCATCATCAACTTTATTTTTTCTCATGGACGCTACATTGGATTCTTCCTGTTTTGAATAGAACCAGATTTTACCTTTTCGATGATGTGTCGTAAGTTATCATTCTCTTTCGAAGAATTGGAACCTATCCCCTCTTCCATCTCTCCGATTCATCGGTTTTAGCGGAAGCTGATCGTTTGGCGGGAGTTGGTCGTGTTTCGCTTGATTAGAGGTTTCCATATGTTGCGTATCGGTACGCTAGCTTGGCCAAATGAGTTGTTGGACAACATATATGCGGCTTCTTTGAATTTTCTCCTGAACCAGTGTTCCTCCTTGTGGATGATTTCAGCTTGATCCCACTTGATGTTATGTTGATGAGTCCAAACATGCTCTGCAAGTTCTGATTTGCTGGTTTCTCCTCGCTGTATATGTTTCTTGTGCTCGGCAATGCGAACTTTCAATGGGAACTTTCAATGAGGATCTCAAATCAATTTATATCATATTAGACAATGGAAGTTCGAACTAATAAAATACACGTTTGTCACATCGTATCTATAAAAGATTGAACTATGGGAGGTTTGGAGGCTTTATACCCACTCATTTACATTAAAATCATCAAACGATACATGAAAATGACTTACTTTAAAAGATATTCGAACTACCAGAAGTTATTATATTTTGTACTTTCATAGAATTTATTGTGAATGAAAATATTATCATATCAGTAAAATGAGCTTACAGCGTAGATTAATGGATGAAATTGACGAAATATTAAAAAATTGTTGTGTATATTATAATTCTCTTGAGAAAAATAAGTTTTCAAAACCTTCAATCAACTTTGATGATAACGGTCGCCACCGTTGAGTTACAGAAAATATACAATAATATGTCAACTGTTGACCGGTTAATCGTGACTTCATAAATAACTATACAGGGCTTTTCATGATGAGCGTTAATTAGCCGTTTCTGGCAAACTAT